GAGAGAGAGAGAGAGAGAGAGAGAGAGAGAGAGAGAGAGAGAGAGAGAGAGAGAGAAGGGGGGGCAAGGAGGGGCAAGAGGGGAGGGAAGACGAGGGGAGGAGGGCAGAGAGGAGATTCCAAAATGCGGAAAGCAGGGTGGGTGGGTGGTGTGGCGGAGGGAGGAATTCGAAGGTGGTATATGGAAGTGAACCTTGACTAGACATGTCTCTCAGCGAAGCGTGAGAGACTCGGGGATTAATGAACGGATAGGTGTTCACGCTTCAGTAGCGCGATTGGCTGAAGGTCATAGACGTATGGGTGCCGAAGAAGCAAAAGGGAAACTAGGAATGCTGTGAGACGTTGAATCTCCCTCTGTTTTTCTTTATCTTTCTCTTTGTCAATGCCTGCTGGGAGTTTGTTTTTTTTGATAGCGTCAAAGGACAATGATGATGTCCCATAGTCGTTAAATGTAGGAGGGAAAACAACCATATCATCGTCAGCTGAAGATCTTAGTCTGTGGTGAGTATGTCAGCAGAAAAAAACAGCAAATCAACCTCCATCATCATTCATGAAAGGCTAGATAGAAGGCATGGGGTCGATATGATGCCATGCCGGTTGGGGTGAACCTCTGCGACCATCGGTTGGGCTGTGTACGTTGCTTTCCTCACTGAATGTATCCCCCCCGCCATTTACTTAGCCGCCATCGCTGCAATGTACTTTGCTGTCATATCCGGAATGTACTTTGCCGGCATTTCCTTAAATGTGCTTTGCCGGCATTTCCACAATGTGCTTTGCCAACATTTACGCATCGTACTTCGCCGGCGCTTCGACAATGTACTTCGCCGGCATTTCCGCACTGTACTTTGCTGCCATCGCCGCAGTGTACTTTGCCGGCATTTCATCAGTGTACTTACTTCGCTGCCATCGCCGCAGTGTACATTACCGGCATTTCCACACTGTGCACTGTAGTTTGCCGGCATTCCTGCACTGTACTTGGCCGGCATTTCTGCACTGTACTTGGCCGGCATTTCTGCACTGTACTTGGCCGGCATTTCTGCACTGTACTTGGCCGGCATTTCTGCGCTGTACTTGGCCGGCATTTCTGCACTGTACTTGGCCGGCATTTCATCAGTGTACTTAGGGCCAGATCCCGCTAGCCCCTATTGTTCATTTCTGACCGTTGATCTTCGTAATCGAGGGTGAAAAATGAATAATCCAGGGTAGTGGGATCTGACCCTTACTTCGCCGCCATCGCCGCAGTGTACTTTACGGCATTTCCGCACTGTTCTTTGCTGTCATCGCCGCAGTGTACTTTGCCGGCATTTCAGCAGTATACTTGGACGGTATTTCGACAATGTAAGCACTTTGCTGCCAGGGCTGCAGTGTACTTTGCTGCCATCACCGCAATGCATGCTGATGGCGTTGGCGTAAGGTACTTCGCCGACATTTCCGCACTGTACATTCAGCTCATTTCCTTGATGTACCATGCCGAAATTTCAGCATTTTGTACTTCGCTGACATCTCAGCAATGCACTTTGCCAGGATTCCGGCAAGGTACTTTGCCCGCAGGCAGGCCTCCTGCGTTCCATAATGTGGTGAAATGTTGCCTGTGCCAACTCGTGGGACTCTTTATTGATTTGACGGGTGTGTGGTTTTGCGCTCCGCTCCTTTTTTTTTTACTTTTTTTTTTTTTTTTTCCTTTTTGTTTTTTTTTTTCTTGTTTGAACAAGTGCTCCAGTCTATGCGTGGGGCTGGGAACTGGGCCCAGCGTCACATATAACATTTTGTCATATTCCTTGGGATAGACATGAGCTGGAAAGAGGGTCCAGCGTCCCGTCCAAATAAATATTCAATGCTCTCCTAGCGATAGCCTCTTCACCCCCTCAGGGCGCCAGATAACTTTATGAGATCCAAGCTACCAACCGTCTTCCCCCGAACATAACGCACCCTGAAGAGGAAAGTATACAAGGTATGTTGCCGGCCGGATACAGTCAGAATGAGGGTGCGTTGTGTTCGGGGGAAGACGGTAGTTGTGGTTGAATATTTCAGGAACTCTGGTAAAGCGGGTATCTCTTAGGGCCAGGTCCTACTAGCCCCTATTGTTCATTGCTGACCGTTGATCTTCGTAATCGAGGGTTAAAAATGAATAATCGAGGGTAGTGGGATCTGACCCTTAGAGGACTACCGTCTTCACCCGAATAGAACGTCCGGTCATTATATAGCTGTATCTGGGCCAACTTCCAGTGTAAATACAGCGATAATGACCAGGCGTTCTATTCGGGTGAAGACGGTAGTCCGCAGTATGACCCACGTAGACCCAAATTGAGGAAAAACTCGAAAACTGAGAAGTAGAGAGAGAAGAGGAATAAAACTGGAAAAAAAAAAAAAAAAAGATGGTGCTGTTTGCTTACTCTCGCCGTCTCCTCCTCTCTCTCTCTCTCTCTCTCTCTCTCTCTCTCTCTCTCTCTCTCTCTCTCTCTCTCTCTCTNTCTCTCTCTCTCTCTCTCTCTCTCTCTCTCTCTCTCTCTCTCTCTCTCTCTCTCTGTGTTTCTCGTTTCTCCCTTATGCAACCCCTGGCTACCCCCTTCTTCCCCCCTCTTCCCCCCTCAAAGGCGCTGCCCATTGAGTCGAGCTCAACTTTTGCTGTTTCTTAGACTCGGAAGTGGACCGATTAAAAAAAATAAAATTGAACTGATATGTCCTTCGGGACATCCGTTAAAATTGGAACGATACAGAGAAAGAAGAATAGCATGGCCCGTGCACAAGGATGACACGCAGAAATCGAAAAAAACTTAAAAAAAACAAAAAAAAAGAAGAAAAGGGAAAACTTCAAAAAAGAAGACAAGAAAAAAAAGGAAAAAAAAAAAAGTAAAGAGCGAAAAAAGAAAAAAATCAGGACAGCGGCCTAGATTTGGTCAATTCTGTTCCTAGAGTATCCTCCGACTCTCATTTGTGATGCTGTATTCAGCGAGCAATTGCTCGTAAGCTAAACCGGCTGATGCTGCCGGGACAACTCCGGGTTGAATTGTGAGGTCCCCGGCCTCGAATTGACCTTGGTAATAAATTGATTCTTTGTTGGGAAAAAAAAAAAAAAAAAAAAAAAAAAAAGAAAAAAAAAGTGAACTGATATTTGATTGTTGATCGCACAATAGAGCAGTACCTCTCCCGACTCGAAACGTCAATATTTGAAATATTTGGAGAATCATATTTCCCTCTTTTTGAACAAATAAATTGAAATTATGTATTAATTAAATTACTATAAATGGTATTATATTGAGTCAAAGGTGTCGCTTTTTCAGGTCTCAGCTCTCCTTTTTTTTTTTCCCCTTTCTTTTGGAGTTCTCACCCATAACCCCTTTCCATCCCACGGGGTACCCGGACCCACCAACGTCTGCAATTCTCCTGCTGGACCCTCCCCTACCCTCCTGGTAAACCCCTCAGGACCATCGACTGTCACAATTTAGGTGGAATGGCAGTCGCAGGGAGCTGTGAGAGGTGTAGCTAGCGCGCACGGCTGGAGTGGCACCTCAGCTGGCCGCCATGCGATGATCACACCCTACTACTGGTGACCCCTTCTTATCCCACTAGGCTCCTTGACCCGCCAACCTCAGCAATTCTCCCGGCGGACCCTCCATCAGCCTCTGAGGTCCACCTCTGTATAAACCCCCTCGGCCCTACCCCAGTGTAAACCCCTCAGGACCGTCACGCCTCACCATTAAGGTGGAGCGACATGGTCATCCCATCACGGATGACCCCTTTTTCATCCCAGGGGGCTTCCCCGCACCCCCTCTCCCCTCAGCAATTTTCCCGGTGGACCCTCTGTCACCCCCTCAGCCCCACCTCAAGTGAACCCCGTCAGCCCTACCCAACTGTAAACCTCTCAGGACCACCACCCCTCACCATTACGATGGAACGACATGGTCACGCCCCCATCACCACTCCCAGCGCACTCTCCATTACCCCCTCGGTGCTGAGGGCAGCAGTGCCAAGCAGAGTGACGTGCACAACCCTGATCGAAGCACTTATCACACTACCGTTTTGCTCCTAACACAACACCTCATCATGGCTGTATGGGACCGGAAACATATGTTGTGTGCATTCACAATTACAGTGTGTTGCATTCGGGGGAAGAAGTTAGCCTTGTCGTACAGGCACTTTTGATGCTAGGCACTATCTCGTTATTCCTAACTAGGTAGCCCTGTGAGCAGGCCATGCCCTTCCCTCCCCCCCCCCCCCCCCCCCCCCCACCACCACCACCCAAAGCGAGAGCATTCTGCGAGAGCTTACCGCCAGACGGCCAATGTCTAGTGGTCCAAACCAAGGTCTATAACTTACAAGAACCCAAGATATACCTGTACCCGAAAAAAGAAAAAAAAAGAAAGGAAAAAAAAAAAACTATACACCCGGGGACCTCCTAGCACAGCCAGAGTCTCTCGCCGTGATATGTCAGTTCTTTCCAACTCAGCTGTGTTCCATGCAACCATTATCACCATCATTGATTCATTTAGATACTCAGTAAGAAATCAGCCCCTGAATATTTGTTTTTATCCCCACCATCGTCTCGTGTTATCCCTGATCATTCTGTGGATCTGATACTCGGCCATCCCACCTCTAGGAAATCATCACCTCCCAAGACCCAGCCCATGCGGCTCGATGGTACACCCGTGAACTGTGGAGGAGAAACAGACCTGAGTCAGAATCCTGATGGGATCGGATGAATGGAATAACTCAGAGTTCCTTGTGACCAGTCAGTTCCACGAAGATACCTCGAGGCCTTCGCCCTTCTTAGAAAAAAAAAGACAAAAAGAAAATCATCAACCAAGTGTAAGCTCTTGTGCCAGCAATGATGACAGGATCATGCATATCCTCCTACTCCTCCTCTTCCCGCTCCTTTTTCTTGTCGTTGTCGTAGTCCAATTCCTCTTCGTCCTCCTCGTCCTCCTCGTTGTTGTTGTTGGCGTCCTCCTCTCTCTCCTCGTCATTGTTGTCCTCCTCCTCCTCTTCCTAGTCGTTGTTGTCCTCCACTTCCTGGTTCGTGCTGTCCGTGCCCTCTCTTCATTCACCTCCTTTTTTCTCCTCCTTTGATAGGTTCTTTTGTGTCCCATTGAAAAAAAAAAAACAAGGAAAACGACAGTTTGGAAAATGTCCGAAAATTCAGTTATATGGTTTGCTGATGCTGTGTTTCAGTGATTGATTGGTGAACAGCTGTTGAGCTTCTGGCTCCTCTCAGAATCATCATCCAGGTACCTTAAAGGCAGTTGCTCGAGTGCCCAAGTCAACTTCGTATGGTTGTTCAATTCTGAAGTTGTATGTCGATAATAGTACTTATCAAACCTTTCTGTTCATTTGCTTCGATGATATTGACCAGGTACTTCATTCAGGAGAAGGGCCTGTGTATGCAGTGAGTTGGTGTGGGAGCCTTATCGCATGGGCGAACGATCTGGGTGTCAAGGTGTACGATCTGGCGACCAATCAACGGATATCGTTTATCGAGAGGCCTAAAGGCAGTCCCAGCCCTGAGATTGTTATGCCTCACGTTGTATGGCAGGTAATGGCGGTCCATCTTTTTTTTTTTTTTTTTTTGGTTTCTTTTGATTCTCCCTTCACATAAATGACCCACCGCGTTAGCTCAATATTGAAAACTGTCAAGTGTTTTGCAGCAACAAGCCAGGGAATAGCACACGAGGATGGCGATAGGCAGTATTGGTTGCGGCGCTCACCTTGTCTATGTTTTTGAGCTCGTTCTGGACTGTCTTATCGGGTACAGGGAAGCTGTAAATGTATGCAGTACTATAGAGTAGTAAAGAGGAGTATAGACATGCTTGAACGACCAGTATTTGTGAGGCACTTTTCTTCGGTGCTGGAAACGCCCTGCGCACTTGAGCCCCTTCTGGACTGTGTCTTATGGGGTACATGGGGGTTGTAAATGTATGTCTTATTGGGCCCAGGGGGGGCTGTAAATGCATTCAGTACTATAGAGTAGTGTAGACATGATGGAACAACCAGTACTTGTGAGGCACTTTTTTCTGATGCAGGGAACGCCCTGCGCACTTGAGCTCGTTCTGGACTCTCTTATTGGGTCCAGGGGGGCTGTAAATGTATGCATTGCTATAGAGTAGCATAGACATGATAGAACCACCAGTACTTGCGAGGCGCCATTCTCCGATGCTGGAAACGCCCTGCGCACCAAAAAGAAACGAACTGGTGCAACTTTCTTTTGGACGGTGTTGCCAGCCATTTTGCTCTGGTACCCGAGCCGGGAAAACACGGCGCAATCGCAGACCAGGCGGGAACAAACGGCTGGGCAAAGTATTGGTGGTTTAATGGCGTACTTGCATTAGCACTATCTTAAATGTATGTGACCACATTTAAGGCTAGACCTGGATGTATCTGACCGCCATTATGTCCTGAAATAAGTAAAATGGTCCTAGTGTGAGTATGCCCTGCTATTCTAGGCTACCAGCCGGGCCGCCCGGGTCCCGGGTGGTCAGCCCGTGCAAGGACCAGGGAAGGTCCCAGAAAAAAAAAAAAAAAAAAAGAAAAAAAAAAATCCGGGAAAAAAACTATGTTATGCAGAAAAATAAACTGACCAACCTTTTTCTCAGGGTCACATCGAAATTCTTCACCAAATTTAGAATAAAAAATAAATTCTAAAACTTTTTTTATTTTTATTTTTTTTGGCCCGGCCGGGCAAGTGACCCCGGGCCACTCTGGTAGCCCAGCTGCTATTATGAAATAAAAAGTAATTTCTAATAATAATTATTACTAATAGTATACGTATGTGGATACCTACTAATATCATAGTAATATCATAATATGTAATACGTGCATGGAGTTGTGGCTGCGATCTGAACATACCCATGGGCATTGTGAACACCTGGATCCAGGTGATACAGGACGTCTAGAGTGCAGTCCATGATGACGAAAGGTGATTATACTACGACTTCGCTACCTCCCTGGTATGGTTTTCTCCGGTCAGGTTGAACTGCAGTGGTTGAGGCTACTAATATGTAATATGTACATGTAGTCATGGTTCCGATCCGAACATACCGGTGGTCCGGGTCGTCACTGTGCAGCTATGCTGTGCCTCTAGTGTCAGCGGCGTCTCGAAGTGTATTTTATTTTCTGGCTGTGACAGACCTTTCTCTGTTTCATGGGTGTTTTGCTGGCTTATGGTGGGGTGTGAACCTGCAGTCAGTAGAGTTTCCCGTCTGGGGTGGGTGAGTGATAGTTCTTTGATTTTCGGCACAGGTGCCTTGAGGGCAGTTGTTGGTGCTCCCGACCACCTCAGGGTATCAGCTGTCAGGCAGTCATTGATGCATAACCACAACCGGGGTTAAGGTGGATTATCACTTACAGTATCATCGGATAGGGACTCCGCAGAATGCAGAGGGTTCAGCCTCCTGATGAGTCGGTGAAAATCCGATGAAACAGTCTGTCACAGCCCCTCATTTGTTGTCCACTTCTCCCTCTCTGCCTACGGTTCACTGGGCAGTTCTCTATGACATTTACATATGTGTATAATGTATGGTTCCGTTTTTTGAAGTGTTGGTTATGGTAGAATTGTTGGTATTTTTGGTACTCTTTGTCTGCATCCCGGTTGGTTTTGTCTCGTTGTTCGGTCCATGTGGCGGTGTTTTCATGTGGGTTGTTCGGTCCACGTGGCGGTGGTTTCATGTGGGACTTGTCATCCGGGTTTTTCCTTGTGGCATTCTAGTTGGCTGGTTCCCGTTGTTTAGCCTATCGAAGGGGGTGGTGCTTTTAGGTGGGAATCGTCATCTGGGATTGTCTTTATATATATTTTTTGCAGGCAAGGGTGTTGATTGCTATCCTAGTTGGTCATTGTCCGTCGTTTAGCCTGTGATGTCGGGGGCGGTGGTTGCATGTGGGACTTGTCATCTAGGATCTGTTATGTTTGTTTCTTGGCACCCTTGTCTGCATCCCGGTGGTTGCATGTGGGACTTGTCATCTAGGATCTGTTATGCATGTGGGACTTGTCATCCAGGATCTGTTATGTTTGTTTCTTGGCACCCTTGTCTGCATCCCGGTTGGTCGGGGGCGGTGGTTGCATGTGGGACCAGTCATCCGATTTTTTTTTGTTGTTCGGCCTATGAGAGCATGAATGGTTTAGGAATGGGAATACCCACGTCTTGATGGCGAATAAGGCCATCTGCTGTATATAGTGTTTTTTTTTTTTTTTTTTTTTTTTTTTTTTTTTTTTTTTTTTTTTTTTTGGCAGACGAGTTTTGTCCTGGGTGGTGTTGTCCCGTCGTTTGGCCTGTGAAGGAGGGGTGGTGCTTGCATGTGGGACTTGTCATCTAGGATCCGTTTTTGGTGCTGTTGCTTGTCTGTCTCTTATACACATCTAGATGTGTATAAGAGACAGTTTACGCTCTGTGCAAGGAATATGAGTGTGAACGATATACAGAAAACCAAGTTGCGAAATCACACAGATGTCCAGGTAGTCGTATCCAAGCAGAGAGTACAAAATACACCGATAAACCATCCATATAGAGCAATACAATGAAGTAATGAGCCAATGATTCAAGCCCGTAGGCCACACCAACACAGTATCCAAAGTTCCGCCTCTCTGTCTGGCGCCCAGCGCCCAACCTACTCTGCCCGACTATCCTACCTACAGCTGGTTCACGCAACAGGCTCACTTTGACTCTCGAAGACCAATGTACATGACTGTCAACTTCATAGCCGACCTCTCTTCATGCACCAGGTACGTATCTCGTCACCCTCGATAAGACCTTGATTACCTCACACTTGCCTCCTTCCCTGAAGACCACCAGATCGCCCGCTGCACCCGCTGGCGCTCAGTAGCCTGGCTATGGCTGCCTGCGCCCCGCTGCCCTGCAGCGCCCCTCCTCACCACTACGTGCCCCGTCAGCGCCTTTGGCAGCAGTGCAGCATCAAGCGAGAGCACAGTAGCACTGCCGCATTGCCAGCACTGGCCAGAATACCTGGCCTGGGCTGCCTCACTTCTTTTATGGAAGTGGCAGCCTCCTGGATGCTGCGTGTGGCCTGGCTGGAAGCTTCCAGTAGCTTCCGGTTGGGCCTCAGACCCTGCTCCCAGGCCCGAGACTACAGTTGAGGGCCTGGGTCCTTTTCAGTTGGGCATGGCCTGAGTCTCCGGACTTGGGCTGTTTGCTGCATCTGTGCAGGGCTCCCAGGCAGGTGCGTCGGCAGTACTGCTTTTGCAAAGGCCGATGGCCTGCTTCCCAATGTATCGGCCCTGCTTTGTGTGTATGTGCCCAGGCGCAACTGTCAAGGCCTGGGCCAACTGTATGATGCAGCTTTGTGAGGCTCACACGTCTACCCAACCAACTGGCGTGCTGCTAGAGCCTGAATACCCACTTATTGGAATGTCGAAGTTTGCCTCTGACAAATATTCAGGCCCGCCTTCATTTAGGGCGGGCACTGCTTGCTGGGGGCCTTAGCCCAGATCATGTGATGTCTGATAGGGCACCTTGAGGGCTTGTTCCTCGCATCTGATAACTTTGTGACAATATATACAGTTTGTCACAGCCCCTCGTTTGTTGTCCTCTTCTGCCTCTCTGCCGACGGTTTACCGGCGAGTTTTGTTTGACGATATATATATTGTGGTGGGCTGTGAACCGAGATTCTGTAGAGTTTGCCATCTGGTGTGGGTGAGTGATAGTCTGCTTTGATTTTTGTCACAGGTACCTTGAGGGCAGTGGTTGGTGCCCACCTCAGGGTATCAGTTGTTGGGCAGTTGTTGATGCTTAACCACAACCGGGGTTGTTGGGCAGTCGTTGATGCTTAACCACAACCGGGGTTGAGGTGGATTACCACTTACAGTGTAATCAGTTAGGGGATTCTGCAGGCTTTTCAGGGTTCAGCCTCCTGATGAGTCGGTGAAACTCCGACGAAACAGTTTGTCACAGCCCTCGGTTGTTGTTATCTTCTCCCTCTCTGCCTACGGTTTACCGGGCAGCTCTGTTTGACGATATGTATTGTCAAACAGAGCTGCCCACGGTTTATATTGTCAAAGAGAACTGCCCGGTAAGGGAGAAGGGGACAACAAACGAGGGGCTGTGACCAACTGTTTCGTCGGAGTTTCACTGACTCTTCAGGAGGCTGAACCCTCAACAGTCTGCAGAATCCCTTTACTGATTACACTGTAAGTGATAATCCACCGTTACCCGGGTTACAGACTGTCGGTTCACACCCCATCACAAGCCAGCAAAACACCCACGAAACAAAGAAAGGTCTATCACAGCCAAAAAGTACACTGCAGACACGCCGCTGGCACTAGAGGCACAGCATGGCTGCATAATGACGCCCCCGGCCACAACCTGACTGGAGAAAACCGTAGCAGGGTGCTATCGAAGTTGTGGTATATATCGTCAAACAGAACTGCCCGGTAAACCGTCGGTTATATATTTGTGAGTCTTTTGCTTTTCTTCCTTTCTGGCTGGGGTTCACCCGGCAGTTCTCGATGAGTATGTATGTAACATTTTCTTAAATGTCGCTTTTTGAACTTTTTAAATTTTGTAAATTAAACTTAAGTACATATGGGGGGAAAGTATCGTGCAGTTAAAAAAAAAAAAAAAAAGCGTAGCATGGCTAAGCGTGCAGCATTGCCATACAAAGTTACAAACAGCTTTTGGCTGAGGGTCATCTCGGAAATTCATAACCAAGTTCAAGGGTACAAAATCGAAAAGAAACAAAATACATAGGGGGATGTTCGGGTGACTTCTGGACCTAGGTCAAATTCACGTCGTCTGTTCAGATCCTGGTGCAAGGTGCTTGTGATTGCACAGTAGATGGGGTTTGAACTTGGAACCTCTCATCTCCCTTTATTATGGGCAATTATTAGTCACGACTCCCGCAAGGTCTGAGAGAGGTTTGAGTATTGCACACTGGACCCTTTTGTTGTTGTGAGAAGGGGGGGGCTTGATCACCAGGGGGGTTGGGTCAGTCCTTCAGGTATTTTGGGTGTTCCTTTTTTTTTTTTTTTTTTGGAATTTTTGGTGAATGCAATTTGATGTTAAAAGTTAAAATAGGTAGAAAAAAAGGAGATAAAGCAGTCTGTAGCACTGGCCCTGTGGGACCCGTCCTGCCTCTTCTGCTGGCTGCCCTGAGGGACATTTGTTGGCAAAACTCAGTCTATTGGGTGTACGCCACAAACCATTGTGCCTTCCCACATTACCCCATGCCTTCTGCTGCCTGCTGCTGTTTTGTCTTTTGACAAGACCGTGGTATATTGCAAGTTTTTCGTCGAACCTGGCAGAGTCGAGATAGATCTTCATTATCCTTTGGCATTAGTTTCTGTTAAGACTGCAGTTAGTGCAGGGTAGCTCAGAATCCTTTCTCTTGCAGGAGAGGACGGATTGGGAGTGCCCTGATGTCTGTGTGCGTGCGAGAGCGAGCACGCGCGCGCGCTAGAGAGAGAGAGAGAGAGAGAGAGAGAGAGAGAGAGAGAGAGAGAGAGAGAGAGAGAGAGAGAGAGAGAGAGAGAGAGAGAGAGATGATGTTGGTGAAGTTCACATGCTTGCGATGTTGTTTCTTCTTATGTTGGACTTCTGGGGATCTCACCGTCACACCCACACGCACAACATGCACGGGCATGCACACACAGTTTTTTATCCTGGCCTTGTTCAATAATGTTGTATTCATTCTTGTTTTGATTCTGTGCATTTCTGCTTGCACTGGGTTTGCAGGACGAATCGCTTCTCATTATTGGATGGGGTGACTGTATAAAACTTGTTGCAGTACGAACAAGAGGCGTAGACCAGATCGGTTTCAACGCTATGCCCTCCACGAGGGATGGTGTTGTGAGTAAGAGTGTGACCAAACCAGCCTCTGTACCATCTTCGCCCAGGAGATTGCCAGCCCAGTTAAGCGGGCAGAGCTCTGGCTCAGGTTCGGGTGAGTACTTGAGCTTTGGATTAGGGTTGGGCTTAGGGAACTTGGGGTTGAGCTTGGCCGGAAACGGCAGAAGTCCGAGCGCTGTGCCAGCTGGTCCCAAACACATGGAAGTTGTGGCTATGTTCAGGACCGACTACTGGGTCTCTGGTGTTGCACCATATGACAAGGACCTGCTTGTCCTTGCATACATCACGACAACTGTGAGCGAAGACGGCGCAGACACTTCATCCTCACATACCCCCTCGGGTTCTGAAAACGGGGTGACGGTCCCGCCTCAGCCGGCCCAGGTGAGTGGAGCAGCCTATCTTCCGTTCTGCATTCATTAATATCCAGTTTTCCCTCTTGTCATTCTCAGTTCTTTGTGCTTGTGAAACTAATCAGGTCACTGTTGCAGCAGATCAACTTCCCTCCTCCTCCCCCCAACTCCTTGTTAAGGACCAACCTCGCCACGTAGAAGTGGATTGCCAAATCTTTCATCTATGTTTGGAATCTTCGTCAACTCAACGGCAGCTGTGCTGGTGCCACGTTCCTCTTCGATCTCACAGTAGAGGTTTTGCTGTTCTGAATATAAAATATTCTCGGTTGGAAGGGTTGCAGGGTGGCTGGTTGAGTAGAAGGAAAAGGAAAGACCGCAGCTGAATGGCTGAGTGGTCGTTAGGGACATTTCCCCTTTGAAAAGATTCTACAAAGGAGGAGGAGAAAGGTGTTGGGCAGTCTCCTTTTCATGGCGCTCTCTCACCTCTCTCCATTTGACGCTGCTCTCTCACCCCCACTCTCTCTCTCTCGCTCATGCCCCTCCTCACTTATGATCTCTTTCTCCCTCCCTCTCACCCTACTCCCTCCTCCTCTTACAATCTCTTTCTCCATCCCTCCTCTCTTTCACTCTCTCTGACATCTGTCCATCTCACCCCATTCTCTCTCTCAACCCTCGCTCTCGCCCCTGCTCTCTCTCGTGCGCCTGCTCTCTCTCTCTCTCTCTCTCTCTCTCTCTCTCTCTCTCTCTCTCTCTCTCTCTCTCTCTCTCTCTCTCTCT